TGATGATATTGATTTCCCTTTTAGCAGTGTTTAGTTTCATTCCACAAATTTGACCTGCCTCCTTTTTATTACCATTCAGTTTTAAATGTTTTTTCTTGTTATTCTTTAACTAAGTGGTCATTTAGAAGTATATTTAATTTCCACATATTCAAGACTTCTCCAAATATCTTAATGAAACTGATATCTAATTTAATAATATTTTGGTCAGAGAAAATGCTTTGTAATATTTCAGTCTTTTAAAACTCACTGAGACTTGTTCTATAACCAGAAATATGGACTACCTTATTGAATATTCCTTGAGCCCTTGACAAAAAAATTCTTATTCTTCTGTTGTTAGATGTCGTGCTCCATAAATATAAATTAGTTCTAGGCAATTGATAGTATTGTTATGATCTTTTGTATACTATTTGTTCTATCAGTTACTGAAATTAGAATGTTAAAATCTCCACCTATGATTGTGGAATTATTTAGTTCTGTCAAATTTTTCATAGTGTGTTTGATATTCTGTTAGAAGGTACAAATACATTTAAATTTATTATAACTTCCTGATGAATTGACTGTTTCATCATTAAGAAATTTTCTTCCTTTGTCTTGGAGTCTTATTTTTTTCCAAGAATAATATAGCCTTCCCTTCCTGATTTATTATTTCTACTTTTTGCCAATCTTTCCCCACCATTTTACATTCAACTTATTTTTTTGCATTCAGATTTTTCCTCTTTATAGTCAGTATATCGTAGAAGCTTACTTTTTAAAATCTAACAATTCTGCCCGTTAATTGGAATGTTTAGACTATTTATATTGATGTAAGCATTGGTATGAAGGGATTTAGTGCTACAGATTTGCCATTTGTTTTCTATTTGCTTCATTTCATTTTTATGCCTCTGTTCTTTCATTCCCACCTTCTGTTGGTTAATTGTATATTTTCTAATATTATACTTTAATTTCTCATTGGCACTTCAGATTTACCTTGTTGCATTACAGTTCTAGTTTTTGTTATAAGTTTTATTATGCATCTTGAACTTACTATGATCTATTTAGAGTTTTCCCGTGAAATATAGAAACCTTGCATGGTGTAAATTAACTTAATACCTCATTCCATCTTTTGTACTATTGTTGTGACATAGACAAAGACCCAAAAAACCCAGAATTTATTTATTAAAAAATTTTGTATTTAGCCTTACATATTTAAACTTCAGTTGCCTTCAAAATACTCTCCATTTGATGCAATACACCTATTGAGATGCTTTTCCACTGCTCAAAATAGTTTTTGAACTCGATTTTGAAGCCTCTTAGTGCTTTCTACCATTTTTTGTTTCACCTCTTCTACATCGGCAAAATGTTCCCCTTTGAGGACTTTTTTCTTCTGGGAAAACAAACAAAAAAGTCATTCAGCGTGAGATTGGGTGAATAAGGAGGGCGAGGTCTGGGGATCATGTCATTTTGGGTCAAAACTTCACAGCCACACATTGTTCTTGGAACTTACGCAGCATGAAATGGGCAAACGTGTTGAACAAATCTTCAAAAACAACAACAACAACAAAAATGTACTGAAACTGAACGCAGTCTCTCAGCCTCTTACAGCAATGCTGGCTAGTAGTACACTGATGCATATGGATTCCTAGAATACTAACCTAGTGGGGGAAGCCTGAACTACAAGTGACTCACCCGCCAAAAGTTAATTCCAGGTTTTTTGGGGTCTGCCTCATGTGTTTCTATAAATATATAGATATAGTCACACTTGTATACATGTAAGATATATTTAATATATTATATATATGTAAAACTCCACAACAAATTGTTACAATTTTTGCCTTAAACATTTAAGGAAAAATATTTATAGTGTTTTATACTTAACAACATATTCACCATTTTCAGTCTTGTTATTCCTTCCTATAGATGTGAGTTAACATCTGGGGTAATTTCTCTTCAGTCTGAAGCGCTTTCTTTAGTATTGCCTGAAGTTCACATCTGCTAATAAAACATTATCTTAGTTTTTGCTTATCTGAAAATGTCCTTATTTCATCTTTGTTTTTGAAAGACAGTTTTATTAGATATAGAATTCTATGTAGTAGCCTTGTTTTTCTTTCAGAAGTTATTGTATTGTCTTCTAACCACTAATGTTTCTCATAAGAAGCCAGTCATAATTTGTATCTTTGTTTCTCTGTATGTAATATATTGTTTTTCTCAGGTTACTTTTAATGGATTCTTTTAAAATCTTTGATATTTTTTTGGTTTGGCTATAATGTGCCTAAGTGGGTTTTCATTGTATTCATCCTGCTTGGAATTTGTAAGTCTCTTGGATCTGTTTGTTGTTTTTTTTTTTTTACCTAATTTGAGGGGATTTTTAAAATAAAATTTTGCTAATTTTAGCATCTATGTTATTTTCTGAGTCTAGTTTTTTTTAAAGAGGGAAGTTAATTTTTCTCTCACATAAAATACATCTAATAAGTAGACATTCCAGGGTTATTATGACAGCTATGAAATCAGAGACCTAGCCGGGCTCGGTGGCTCAGCCTGTAATCCCGCGCCTTTGGGAGGCTGCAGTGAGTGGATTGCCTGAGCCCGCGGGTTCGAGACCCGCCTGGGCAGCAAGACCTTCATCTTTACAAAAAAATCAAAAAATCAGCTGGGCGTGGTAGTGCATGCCTGTAATTCCAGCTACTTGGAAGGCTGAGGCGGAAGGATCGCCGGAGCCCAGCAGGTCGAGGCTGCAGTGGCCGGGAGCGGCCACTGCACTCCAGTCTGGGCGACAGAGTGAGACACCAACTCAAAAAAAAAAAAAAAGAAAAAGAAAAGAAATCAGAGACCTATCCAGACTGGGTTTTTTCTTAGTAACTACTTTCTCTTCTGATTAAAGGTCACACTTTTCTGTTTGTCTTCGTGTCTAGTGATTTTTTATTACATGCTAGACATGTTGGATATCTCCTAAGAATATGAATGTTGTTTCCTTTAGAGAATTTGCATTTTTTCTTTGGCAGACAGTTAATCTACTGATGGATCACCTCAATCCTGTTGGAACTCACTTTCAAGCATTTTTATGGAAGGTCTCAAGAGTGCTTACTTAAGGAACTCTAGTCCTTAAGCATGGCATTTCTAGGGTCTCAACTGAATTCCTATCTGCAAGGTATTTTCATGCTTCCTGATAGAACTCTAATATCTTTTAGCACTATATGATCTATATAATTTCCATTTAGCTTAGAGTGCTCCGTAACTATTCTCTATCAGGTCTTTTAGAGTCTTGCTCTATACATGTACAACTTAATACTCAAAGACTCAAGAGGACCCAGCCAACTCACCAGCCCCAAACTCCAAATTCTGTTCTCTGCCCATCAGTAGATGCTGTAACTGAAACTCACTTCCCTGTGCCATGGCTTGGAAAGTACCTTTGGGTAGAAAACCAGGTGGTTGTGAAGTTCACCTTGAGTATCTTCCTTCTCTCAAGGATCACCTCCCTGTACTGTGTTATCTAAATACTCAAAACAGTTATTCCTTACATTAGATCTAGTTCTATAGTTGTTTGTAGCAGAAGGACAAATATGGTTTCATTCTTCTGTTTTGATTAGGATCAGAAACCTGAACTATTTCTTCTTACTTCATCGAAAATTCAAATATGTTTGTTCCTTAGACCACAGAGCATTTGAAGTAGTAAACAAAGATGAAAGATGTTGATAGCTTGCTAATAGAACAATTAGACAAAGCAGTCATGCAAACTAAAAGTTATTTAATGTAGAAACAAATAGACATACACACTTTAATAACACCTGAAAGTGATTCTGTATTGTCACTGTGTTACGATTTGCATGATGATGGACTTCAAGTCATTCAAGACATCTTAAATCTAATTAGGGAAAAAAGGTATAGATACTGCATCTTAGAAATTTTGAGTTGTGTCACTTACAGGCAGAATCATGAGATTATTTAAATCCAGGGAGATTTATAACATGGTAATACTTTTTAAGGGGATAAGTGTGAGTCATCTAGAAAAGTTAATTCTGCAAGTTAGTTACTGCTTTCTTGGAAGATATCAGAAAATTGGAAAGTTGCTGTAAAAATTCTTAATCATGAAAATGATGAAGAGTAAATGGGATGTCTATTCTTGTCATTGCTGAGCATTTGGGCTTTCTCTCCTGGAATCCAATTCTTGTTACCATGGTGATGCTTGGTCTCCAACAGGTCAGGACTATACCGTGTAGCAGAAAAGGATAGATGGAGTGGGAGAGAGATATAAAGGAAGAGTGAGAAAGAGTGAATGAGAGGGGTGTGCATTTTTTAAATGTATATGTGTTTTCTAAATCACAGTATGATAAAAGCTTTCAATCAACCTAGGAAACACAGCAAGACCTCAATTCTACAAAAAGTAACAATTAGATGGACTGATGGTGCACGCCTATAGTCCCAGCTACTCAGGAGGCTGAGGAAGAAGGATCACTTGAGCCCAGAAGGTTGAGGCTGCAGTGAGCCATGATCATGCCACTGTACTCCAGCCTGGGTGGCGGAGTGAGACCTTGACTCAAAATAAAACTTTTAAAAGTCCCAATCACAAAACATTACAGTTCATTTCTGAGGATTATCCAGGAAATGCTTTGTTTTTCAAACCTCAAATTTCCTATAATTGTTGAATCATAGTGTTCTCTATGCTTAGTGTATCTTCCTCTGCCTACCCTAACTTCTGCTGTGATGCAGTTTCTCCACAGTATACATCCAGAATTTATAAAGCACACATATTGCATCACTCAGCCTTCCTTCAAAGAAGGTGGATCAACCTTGTCCTCCTTCTTTGGGGACAGGATGATACCCCATATTCCCCTCATGTACTAACTTTGCATTCCTTTCAATAAATGTTTATACTTGTTAAACAGAATCGATCCCATACATGTGTAATGGCAAACTTTTCACAAGAGGGTTTTTTCTACCATGGATTGTTTTTATTCCTACTGATGATTATACCAGTTCATTCATACTATTAATGAGATTTATATCCTTTCTTCTTTCTTTTGTAGGAAAACCTTGGTCTATTTTCAGCAGATCCAACCTCTAATATCTGGAAGGCTTATGTTAACTCTATTGATGATATGTTGCAGAATGGATTCTTTCTTGCCATTGAGTGCTCCCTCAAGTACCTCCTGGAAAATACTGGTACTTACTGGCTTATGGTTATCATTGGAAATATAACCATAGTGGCATTTGTTAACTTAAATTGAATTGCAGTTGAGTGCTTTGTGACTTTTTTAAAAACGTTGTAGACTTCTTCTGAATGATACACGGTAAAATAGCAAAAGTATCAAACTCCTAAATTGTTCAAAGAGAAAATATTTCTGACTCTTTAAAATCAGGTGATAAACCAGGCTCTAAGATAGTGAAGCACATAGCAAAAGCAAAAGCAAAAAAGCTCATTCCGTCTAAATCAAGCTTTAGTATTGAAGAGTGACTAAGTTGAGCAGCAGGAAGCACTGTTAGTAATGAAGACAGAGGCTTCATCCAAACTTGACTCACGGCAGTGAGAGGGTCATTCTGTGCCTTCAAACTTCATGTGTGTTATCCCTGTAGCTTTTTGAGAGCACAGAGAGGTTGCGGTAGCCACAGTAAATGGAAGAAACAGAAGATTTTCCTGTGTGAAAAAGAGACAAGATGCAGGGGAGAAGGTAACTCTCAGAAGGAAAAGGGATGTTAAGCGAATTGGCATTCTTTGAAGCTGTTAAGAAATAGTTAAGGGCTTTGAATTTATGGTGCATAAAGTGGGGTATGGTGTTCAAATCAAAGATACAGTAAGGGCTAATCTTGCCTAGTAAGTGATGAGATGGAAAGGGCAGAAGAGTTCACGGCTAAAAGTTGAATTAAATCTCCACATTCTGGCAGATTCTGAGTTTCTTAGCAAGAATCCTATCGAAGGGTTAGTTGAAATGGAAAGGCAGTAGTGAATATTTTGAAGCCAGAGAATGAAAGTGAGATAAAGAGTTTGGGAACCCGAGGTGAGAAATCAAACACAGAGTTAAAATAAATAGGCCAAGATCAGTGCCCAGATATCCAGCAAAAAAGAGTACATACAGACACCTAGGTTGAGAATACAGAGAGCAGCAAGGCCCGTGCTGAGTGCAGCCCAAATGGACAACCCATAGTCTTAATTTGGTGTGAGGTCTGAGGATTGAGGCGCGGTCTTTGCTTGCAGGGTGCAGGGGTGCTGCAAATAAAGTAAACCTTGCAGCAAGACTCAGGGCATTCAGCATAGTTAGCAGGGTAGGAGATCATCTTCTAGAGCCTGGGAACAAGTCACCAGTGGAGCATGGAACACAGGCGCTGAGACAAAAGAACGGGCTCCTAGGGACCAGCGCTGGTGGTGTTCAACTCAGTGAACTGGTCAATCCTCCTCTGAAGCTGGAGATTTAGGGGAGCCTCATCACTCAGCCCTCCCTAGAGGATTTAAAAAGACACCCAGCCACACCAAGGTGCAGGCAATACATTAGAGATGGTGCTTCAGTACAGTGACTCCACCCTTGGTCAATGGCTATCTGGTTCTGATCTGGCCTGTCTGATGATATGCCATATTCTTCTTGTGAAAAGGATACAGTGGGAACACAGGATGGAGAAAAGAGTTGGTAGTCTTTCTCCAAGATTGTCAAAGTTCCCTCTCTCCATGAAAGTAGGAAGGCAAGGGAACACATTTTCTTCACATTATAGAAACCCTTCAAGTTCTTCTCTAAATGAGTAGGAGCTAACTTAGCAGACACTATAGACAAAATTTAAAAAGCACTTGTTATCTAGGGAGAAGTGAAGGAGCCTCAAGGAGGCTGTGAGAAGAAGGAAATTATAGTGACCATTGCAGTAGCCCATCTGACCAGTTATGTCTTTCCAGTCCATCTTACCATTTGGGCCTTATTGTGTTTGATCGGGCCCATGCCATTCTTGTGACTTGGGCTGGGTCCCCTGTCATCTCTCACAACCCAAAATCTGCATAGGTTAAATGCTACCCACTCTACAGAGAAATATTCTTCCTACTCTTACCTCCTAAAATGATTTATTTGCACCAAGATTGTGGAACCAAGACAATCCACCCTGCATGATAATTATATTGGTGTTACATGCAATATAGGGATTAGAGTCTTGTGTCATGATATGGGGCAAAAATGTCATAGTAAAAATTTTTTTGAAAGTCTTTTACACACTGGAAACTATATGCAACTTTATTTATTAATTTACAAGTTTATGTTATGTATAGCAATGCAGAATGTATCATGACTACATATTACAGGTTTTTAAAATAACTATTCCATGACAGTAGTAGAGTTACTATGCTGCCAGGAAATCTGTTTTTCACATTTGATGGGACTCTAGTCCTATAATACAAATGCATCTAGTCCAGTAATGCAACTGTATCATCCCTCCAGTTTAGAAGGCAAGGCCCAAGCTTTACACATCTTTAAGGATTCTGCATTATTTTAGTTAGGGTAAATGGCTGAGCTGTAGTAAAAAAAATTCCATCAAGAATGTGGCTTAAAGCAGTGATCCTCAATGTTTTTAGTATCAGGGACTGGTTTTGTGGAAGACAATTTTTCTATGGACCCAGGGTAGGAGGATGGTTTTGGGATGATTCACAAGTGCATGACATTTATGGTGCACTTTATTTCTATTATTTTTACATTGTTTTATATAATGAATTAATTATACAACTGGCTATTTAAAAAAAGAGGTGTGGACAGAAGTGGTAAATAAAATAATGAGCAGGCCATGTGCAGACTAAAATAAGTGTCAGATTCTGACTAAAAGTCTACCACTAGATGCAGCTATACGATTGAAGTATATCAACTCACTTGCCACTCACTGATAGAGTTTTGATAGGAATCTGCAAGCAATTGATTCATTATGGTCTCTGTGCAGTCAAACCTCACTGCTAATGTTAAACTGTATTTGCAGCCACACCCCAGTGCTTGCATCACAACCTCAGTTCCACCTCAGATCATCAGGCATTAGATTTTCATAAAGAGTGCACAACCTAGATCCCTTGCATGCTCAAGTCACAATAGGGTTTGTGCTTCTATGAAAATATTATGCTGCTGATGATCTGGCAGGAGATGGAGCTCAGATGGTAATGCAAGCAATGGAGAGTGGCTGGAAATACAGATGAAGCTTCGCTCACTCTCTGCTTCTCACCTCCTGCTGTGCAGCCCAGTTCCTAATGGAGCATGGACTGGTAGCGGTCTGTAGCCTATGGACTGGAAACCCCTGGCTTAAAGGACAAAAATGTCTATCCCCCAAATAATAGTTTAAGGTAAGTGTTCCAGTTTGATGGGCAGGTTCCCTGCATCCTGTGACCCTACTGTTTTCCAAGACCTTGTCCTCATTTCTGGGATTGAGATGACCCACTGCCACATTCAGGTTCTCGTCTGGACGAGAGGAAAGAGTTTAGAGGAGGCTCACCTCCGATCTCAAGGTTCCCAGCCCATGAGTGGGACCACTTCTTTTCACAGTAGTAGAGTTACTATGCTGTCAGGAAATCATATCACCACAGCTAACTGCAAGTAGGGCTGGAAAATCTGGTTCCCTACTCAGTCATAGTTCTATTTCTAGGGAATAAGAGGACAATGAATGTCAGTGAATAGTCTATACCACCAACAGCATCCAGCCCATTATAGTCTCCTAAATATTTATATGATCAAAAAGACATATGAAAATAAGTGATTATTGATAAAAGTTTAAGCATATATCTTATCTTGTACTTGGAACATCTTGCTCTATGTTGTATTTTGATTTAAATTTAGCAAGGCAAGTTGGCCTAGCAAGTAATCAGGGATTTATAAATTATTTATACTGTTTTTAAAATTTTTATCACTATGGGACTACAGAAGTAAAATAAGTTGTTTTTTTAGAAAAGGAGCAGAACAGGCAGAATTGTCATTTCTCTGTCGTTGGTGCCTATGCAACCATCGACAAGCATTGGCAGCATGGTTTGTGCCTAGGAAAAAAATCAGCTGCTTCTAAGAAACTGGCTTTGAAAAATCAACCTCTTCTCAACCAGAGGCTGTATTTTCCTTCAGGGGGCATGTGAGAAGGTGGAAGGGGACAGGCTTGGGCTGATCCATGTCACTGGGATGTGCTCCATGAGGACAAGGAAAGTAAATGTCCTGCAATGCCCCTGAAAGCCCTGCACAAGAGTTGGCCTACTCAAATGTCAATGGTTCCCCTGCTGAGAAACACTGCAAGACTGTCTCCCTCACCTTTTCTGAGATGTTAACAAATTTTACATTTCCATTTGTCTATACTCTAGCAGCTTGTCCGAGGGAAAGAGATGCTCTGGGTGTTTTTAAAAGGGTACTCTACTTAACCCATTTTACTCATTCTTCTTGGTTTTGTTTGTTTGTTTTCCTTTGTTTTTCAGAGTGTAAGGCAGGACTCATCCCAATATTTGAAGCACAACTGAGTCTAGTCATCCCAGAATTAGTTTTCTATCCATCTCTGGAGTCCGGAGTGAAGGGGGGCTTCTATGACATGGTTGAGGGTCTTGTCACCAGCATTTTTGGGATATCATCGCTGGTGCCACGGCTTTCCTCACAAAATGGCTCTCCTCACTATCAGGTACTGAAGCTGCAACCATTCTGCCCTCCAGCTGAATCTGGAACTTCCTGCCAACTGCTGATGTTAACCTGTCTGCTGCTGTCTCACTTCCTCAGGTTGACCTGGAGGGAATGGCCGATTTAGCAAACATGCGGTGCACTCTCATGGAGAGGGTCCAGAGCATGATGGCCCTCTGCTGTGGCTATCGAAACACCTTCAGCCAGTATTCCTATCTCTATGTGGAAGACTGGAAGGAGATCCTAAGTCAGTTTCTGTTATATGGGCATGTCCTCACCCCTAAGGAGATTGAAGCTCATGTGGAAGATGGCATCCCAGAGAATCCTCCTCTCCTCTCTCAGTTTAAAGTGCAAATTGACTACTATGAAACTCTCTATGAAGAGGTGTGTAGGCTGGAGCCCATCAGGGTGTTTGACAACTGGATGAAAATTGATGTTCGGCCCTTTAAGACATCGCTGTTGAATATAATTAAGAAGTGGAGTCTCATGTTCAAACAGCATCTCGTGGACCACGTCACTCACAGGTAATACTGTTAGGTCAGACCAGATGGAGAGTCTGCGATCCAGTGCTGTGTAAGATGTAAAGAATTGCACAGAAGTAAGACTGGAAAATATAATTTATTTAGAAGGTAAATTAGAGAAAGAGAGAAGATTCACCTCCCCAAGGTAGGGAAGGGAACCAAGGCATAGATCACTTTTCCTTTGCCCTGTCCCTAGGGATCCCCCACAGTCAGAATCTTGACCTCCACCTCTACCAGGATCCTGTGGAGAGAACCAGTCTCTCCCTGTAGGGATTGCTGTGTTGGATGACAGATGACACTGCAAGGAAACAAACCTGACCCCTCCCTAGTATGATGCTGGTCTTGCTCAAAGCTGTAACTGCCTTGCTTTATGATCTGGAGCCATGGGCAGATGGACAAAGAAAATGACAAAATCCAAGGTTTTATCTATCTACAAATAAGCACCAAGAGATTTTGCAAGGCTAATGTCCTACCTCTCTAGATAATTCCAGGGAAGACTTGGGATGTTCTAAACAGGGCTTTCAAGATATTCCTCAAGAAGTAGCAGCTAGTTTTCCATTCATGAAAGCTTTTGCTTCCTGAGGATTTCAGAATCAGAAAAGAAAGAAAGAAAGAAAGAAACTGCTGGTGGGAAGTAGGACAATGGCAGATGACCCAAAATGGAGCACTGTGGAGGGGGACAACTGTTCTGTGGTCCCTTTTCATGGTATGTCTGGGAATCCAAGATATGGACACATGTTTTAAAATGTAGGTTTTGTTATTTAGGTACGGCAAGGCCACAGATCAGGAGGTGACTGCTATCAGAAAGAGAGGTTGTTACAGTTCCCAAGAGAAGGGTGCATGCCACTGCCGCACAGGGCCACACTGGGAAGCACCAGGATCAATCAGGAAGCAGGAGGAGAAGGTTGGGGAAATGTGGGCAAGAGCCTTTATTGTAGTTTCTATGGGAAGGATTAGGCAGGGCAGGGCAAGCAGGTTTAGGATTGATGAGTTTGAATAGTTTCAGCAACTCTAAGAAATAGGGCTTCTCCTAATTGCTTTAGGATGATTAGAGTAGGGAGATAGAGGCCCAGATTATGAGAGCCCAGAGGAGGGAATTGGACTCTATATTGGTTGGTTTGTGTATGAAAAATGTGCTTGCAGGTCAGCTATTGCTATCTTCAGGAATTGGCTAGCCCAGTCAGGTCAGTCTCTCCAGGGTCTGTAAGGCCCCAGATGCAAAAGGATCAAAAACACATGGTTGATACAGAGTATAATGACTGCACCTGCCGTGGACCAGGTAAGGGTTTAGAGGATCTAGCAATTAGTTTAATGGGATGAACACAGGGTGGAGCAGTTAGGAATTCTGAGTTTGTCTTTGAAGTCCTATTTCCTCATGTCTGAAAGAATACATTAAATAGTAGTACTGGATTCCTCTAAGGTGCCTTCCAACTTAATAGTCAATGATTCCACATATTGGCTACTTTGCTACACTTTAGGACAATGTTTTATGGTATTTTCAAGGATTAGATAAAATAGAAGTAATAAGAAAAATAAAAACTATTATTATCGAGTGTCTATTTTGTGCATTGTAATGATGTGATTTCCACTTTCACTTAATAGGTCAGAATGAATCTCACCTTGCCTTATATCTTATAAACTCCATGCCCTATCAGAAGTCCAACCTTCTTTTATCATCTAAATTCTCATCCCCATTCGGCTCTCACTGTGCTAATCTGACTCAACCCACACCCATGCCCTCACAAAGCCTTCCCTGTGCCCTTCCACTAGACCTCAGGATCTTTCAGCAGCACATGCCCATGGTTCCCTTCATCTTCTCTCATTACCATTTAGCCCTAACTGAAATTTGACTCTTCTCTGGGGACACTTTTTCCCTCCTGGCTTCCCAAGTAGAAGCTGATCTTTCTCCTCTGTTCTTCTTACCACTGAGCCTGGAGGTGGAGAAGGTATTGTTCTTCAGTGCTGCTTCCAGACCATTTCATCACCATCCTCCCTCAAAAACTTCAGCTCCACTGATGCGAATCCTATCAGACAGTACCGACTGCCACTCGTCCTTGCTGCCATCATCTACCAATCTCTCAGTCATTCTTCCTCATCATAGCAGATCTCATCATCTGACTCAGTCTTCCTTTCCCACTTTCCTCCAGTAGTCACCCTCTGTGACCCAACATCCACATAGAGTCTCCATGGCATCTGCCTCTTAATCTGTTGCCCTCTTGTCTGCCATACCTCTGCTACCTACTTCTATGTTGTGTTCTCAGTGGGGCGGAAGGAAATTTGGAGAAGTAATTGCTCTGGTTTCAAAAGCTCAGGTTGAAGCATTTCATTCCCTGACCACCACCTGGTATTTTTCCACCTCACTTACTTGGCAACACTGCTGCTCAGAATTCTTCAGACCCATCAGGATTTCCAATTCATTGACTCCCTCGCTTTCTCAGTGTCTGTCATCCTTGCTCCTGAATCCCTCCCATTCCCACTTTGTAAAACCCTGACTCTGTTTAAACTCAGTGCTCCACACCTGTGCCTAAGCAATTCAATTCTGATGAAGCAAAATCAAACCATTCTTCTGACCAACCCTACATTCAATTTATGAACATAAAATCCAGATAGGCTCTTCATATTTTCCTAGATACTACCCAACTCTCCCCCAGACTTTTATTTTCTCTCTCCCCAAGCTTCAAATATCCTTTTTGTTCTTATGACCTTGCTTCTCATTTCACGGAGAAATGAGAAGCAATCTTAAGAGAACTAACTCACCTTTCCACCAACAAATCTACCAGTCTATCTGCATTTGAAGCCATACATTCAATTACTTTGCCTGTGGCAATAGATCAACTGTCCTTGCTTTTCTAAGTTGAAATTCTTTTCTCATACCTTAGGACTTACCTCCTTAAATATTTCCTATCTCCAATATGATTAATTTTTCCCTTATAACTTAGTAACAACATGTGAATGTATTGTCATACTGCCACATTAACACAAAAGAAAGGAGCAAGGTACCACAAGTCCTTCCAGCTACAACGTAATTTTTGTGTGCCTTTTTTTACAGGAAAATTCCTCAAAAGTTGTATTTATACTTGATGTCTTTACTTTTTCTCCTCCCATTATCTATCTACAAAAAGTTTTATTATTAAATTTAACATATGTATATTTAGATAAAAATATTGAAAAATACTTGCATTTACATTATCTAACCAAGAAACAGAACATTGGCTATATTTTTTAATTCTCTTATTTACTCTCCTTGATCAAATCCCTCTCCCTCCCTGCAAGATGTTACTCCTACCCTAAATGTGATATTGTCCTGTCTATGCTTTTCTTAATGACTCAGTGAGTATATGTATACATACATCACACATATAAACACATCACATATATAAATATACATATATGTACACACGTGTGGCTACACATATGTATACATATATGTAGATGTGCATTAAAATTTTATAAAAATGAAACAATATTGTATGTTATGTATTTTCCTGTATCCTGTTTCTTTCACTCAGCATTATGTTTGAGCTTTATCCATTTGAGAGTATAGCAATAGTTCATTCATTTTCACTACTGTAGAGCATTCCATTAGATGAATATACAATAACTTGTCTGTTCATTCTATGGTTGATGAACATCTAGGCTGTTTCCAGTTGTTTTGCTGATATCAACAATGTTGTTATGAGTACTCTTATACATGTATCATGGAATAGATGGGAAAGCATTCCTCTAGGATACATACCTAAAAGCAGAATAGCTATGTCAAAGAGTACACATATGATGCCAAACTCTCCAAGGCAGAGACAGCCATGCCTGAAAGATCCTGTAATCTAACATCCTCAACACCTTTGGGTACTGACAATCTGTTTAATCCTGGTTACTCTGGTAGGAATGTGGTGGTATCTCGTTAGGTAAATATTTTGCATTACTCTAAGTGTGCATAAGGTGGCTCATCTTTTTATGTTTTTGGTGAGTTATTATGTTTCTTTTACTGTGCCTATTCATATCTGTTGCCCATTTTTCCATTGGACTTGTTTTTTTTTGTTTTTTTTTTGATATTCAAGAATTACTTATTCTATATCTAGTCCTTTGCCTTGGTAGTCTTGCAAATATACTATACCATTTTTTGGCCTGCCTTTTCGCTCCATTTATGGTTTATTTTGATGAACAGTTCTTAATTTCATGGTGGCCAAATGTGTCCAATTATTCCCTTATGTTGTTCTTTTTGGCTGTTGAATAAATTCTGTTTTGTCCTGAGATCCTAATGATACTCGTCTATATTCTTTTCTAAAAGTTTTTAAATTTTATCTTTCACATTAAGTAGTCCCTTGTCTATCACTGCATGAGTATAAAGAAGTCCAAATTACTATAACTTTGTAATAAATCTTGATATCTGGCAAGGCAAGTCTCCACCTGTTTTATTTTCATCAAGAATGTCTCAGTAATTCTTGGCCCTCACTATTTTATATAAATTTTAATCATCAGTTTATAGGATCAAAAGTCTGTTGAATTTTTTATTATATTTCCAGTGACTATAGATCAATTCTAGTAGAATTGTCATTTTTATAGTATTGAGTATTCCTGTCCAAGAACATGTTATCTCTTCACTTATTTACATTCTTTTTTGTATCTGTCAGTGAAATTTTGTAATCGTTGCCTTTATAATAATTTGCATGTCTTTGTTAAGATTTATTCCTCAGCCGGGCTCAGTGGCTCAGCCTGTAATCCCGCGCCTTTGGGAGGCTGAGGTGAGTGGATTGCCTGAGCCCGCGGGTTCGAGACCCGCCTGGACAGCGAGACCTCATCTCTACAATAAATCAAAAAATCAGCCAGGCGTGGTAGCGCATGCCTGTAATTCCGTCTACTTGGAAGGCTGAGGCGGAAGAATCGCCGGAGCCCAGCAGGTCGAGGCTGCGGTGGCCTGGAGCAGCCACTGCACTCCAGTCTGGGCGACAGAGTGAGACTCCAACTCAAAAAAAAAAGATTTATTCCTCAATAGTTTTTTTTGG